TATTATTATTATTATTATTATTATTATTATTATTATTATTATTATTTTTTTTTTATTTTTTTTATTACTTACATCATTCATCATTCGCTTCAATTCTATTTATTTTAATGTAAACCATAATTAAACTCAGCTCATTCATTAAGCATGCAATTCATATTTAAAAGTAATTATAAACTTGATTCTCATCGAAAATATTTAATGTTCTAAATAGTATTTTAATAATTCATGCTCTTATTTATGCTCATTAGGCTAAATTGCAAATATTTTCACTAGCCACAAAAGCGTTATTCATAATTGAAACAGTCATTAGCAGCAAACGAAATCAAAAATCGAATTGAAATTTATGTTCATTTTTGCATTTCGACTGTGAACAAAAACTTTTGCCATTTCGCATCCGCACACACACACACACACACAAAAATATATACATATATATCCATTATAGTTATTTGGTGTCTGCATGGTTAAATCCATAGAATAGAGCAGAGCTTTTGGCTCTCTCGTTCGGTTAGCTGAAAATGTGTTATTGATGTTCGCTCATGTGAATTGAAAGCATTTCCAAATGTCAATGTTACAACGGTTTATTTCATGCGATGCACTTTTGCAATGGCTGCAACTATTTGACGCCATATATATCAATTGAATTTATTTGTATTTCTCTTCCTCCATTTTTTTTTTCTTTTTGTATCTCAGTCTCTTTCATATTTCATTAATGCGCACGATTGCGCTTTATTTGAGTGGAGCATGGTACTTGGGTTTTTGCTCTTTTCTCTGCTGAATTTGCTGGCGAACTATGCCAGCTGCACGTACATCGAATATCCAAAATCGAGACCTGTTCAGCAACTATTTGCATCTTCACTTTCATTATGCTGCATGTGCGTGGCTCGCAGAGGACTTGTGGCAATGAACTTTGGCCAATTCAGGCGAGTTCTGGTTGCTTTGATTCTCGTATCAATTGCATCTCAACTGCGAGCTAAGCTGTCAAACTAGTTTGCTGAACGAAACCGAAATGAAGCTGGTTTGCAGGGGGGATGGGTGCGGCTGTTGCGGTCTTGCGGCTCTTTGTGGTACGTGTTGCATGCCACATGTGGAACGCAATATCATGGCAAGCTTAAGAGCAGTTCTTAAAGAGCCACAGGCAACAGCTTAAGCTTGCGACAATTGCTTTGAGCACGATGTAAGATATTCAGATATGCTCGTAATATATACTATATAAATGTATACAAATGTTCTACACTCTCTCGATATGGCCACTGGGCAAATGCATATAAATGAGGATTATAGATATATTTAGGCATGTGGGCATGCATGAGGATTTGGTAGGGCGCAACAAGACAATCAAATGCCAGGCAAATGCTTAAAGTGAACATGCAAAGAGAAAATAGACACAGAAACTGGGCTAAGCATCTGCACAAACACACACGCACATCCAATACACACACACACGCACACTCATAGCATTATACAGAAGCAGACAATAGATTGCCTTGGGTTTGGCATTCATTCATTCATTTGCCTCGATGTCCTTTGCATGTGTGCCTACGGGGGCGTATACGTAACGGTACGGTCGCTGCCTCCATTCGAACTGGCAACTGGCTTTGTTCAACATGACAAAGACATGACAGCATACGCGGCTCAGAAAAAATTGCGCTTTTTGTAATGCTTTTAATGCTCTGGCTAAAATTTCGCTTGGATTGATTTATGACAAGCCATTGGACCCGGCCGTGTGTGTGAGTGTGTGGATGGCTTTCATGGATCCAAATCAATGGGCTGCCTTAAAGGTCGTAGCGAGTCCGGCTTTCATTTCAATGTAATTGCGGCAAGTTATGAAAGCCAAGCGCAAGCTCGCAATCTCTTGGGCATTCAGCTTTGCTCCTGGCCGTTATATTGATTGAGAAATAGAAAACATAATCATATGAACGACTCAAATGCTCATAACTAATATATCAATAACTATATATCGGCCGTCAACCTGATCAGACTCAGAGAAGCCGTGACTCGTCAGACATTACATAAATATATACATATGAAACAGTGCACAACTCTTCTAGTGAATAAGACAAAACGAAGTTTGAAACTTGAGTGACGGCAGCTGCATGACAAAAGCTGAATGCTACGAGACTCGACGGAAGGTACATAAATGCCGAAGACTGAATAATGTGAAGCTTGTGTAAATGTGACCCTTCTTGCTTACGATATATAAAGCATAATCATATGATTCACAGAAATGTATAATCTCTTAGTTTAGGTCTTCTAGCGAATGTCTGGCAGAAATTCAATGTGACTGCCTGACAGAAGCTGAATGCTATGACACTCGATGAATGGTACATCTATGAAACCTGAGGAAATATTGATTGATGTTCATCTGTGAGATTAGAGATCATAATTTGCTTGCGAAATAAAAAGCATAGCCTTATGAATGATTATGAAACTGTGCTAAAGTCTTCCAGTGAATGTTACAAAAACGAAACTTGGAACTTGAGTGAAGGCAGCTGCGTGACAAAAGCTGGATGCTATGCCACTCACTGGAGGGTATATCCAAAATCAAAGGCTAAATATTATCAAGCTTGTGTAAATATTGATCCTCATTGCTTAAGAAATAGAAAACATTAGCATATGATTCAGAGATATATAAATGCTCGTAGTTTAGGTTTTAGGGGAATGTATGGCAAAAGCAAATGCAATGAGACTGCCTGACAGAAGCTGAATGATATGACACTCGATGCATGGTGCATTAATGAAACTTGACGGAAATCTGACTCTGAAGCTGCCTAAGCCAAGCTTAAGTCAAAAACAAAAGGATTGGGTAATAAATGTGTCTACTGCTGATATTCAAAATACCTTGGGCTAGTGAATAACTCTTCATGCTTTGCAAAGTTCTGCAGAGCGGGGAATATTCATTCATTTTGTTTTGTTTTGTGCTGTTCCTGTTCAACACTCATTTGCATAAAGAAAACTTGCTAATAATGGCAACTAAGTTGCCTGCTTATACAGTCAAAACACACACACACTCACACACAGAGACAGTCTAATACATATAACACCTTACAATCAGCAGCTGGCAACAGCAAGTTTTGCATAGCTTAGATAAAGTTTTTGATTGAGTTTCAGCTATGCCGCCTAATACATGGCCGCTCTCAACATGATTTTCCCAAGGTGTTTTTCCTAAGCGTGTTTTCATCTCTCGCTCATTATGTTCGCCTGGCTGTCGGCAAAGTTTTCAGCGCTCAATCTCCGTCATAATTATCGCAGCACAACATTTGCTTTTGCTTTTTTTCCACTTCTCTCATTTGCCTCAGGACCTTTTTGGGCGTGTTCAAAGTTGCTTTAAAATTTATGCAAATGACAAACTGGGCGCCAAATTATGTCATCTGCAAATTCTTGCGACTAATTACACAAAAATTAATTTGCTGGTTGCCCAGCTACAAAAAAAAATAAATATAGCACGAGATCCCTAATATTCCGAAATGAAAATGTTGCTGCTTAATTTATGTCATTTCGTTGACCGAGCGGCATTTGCATTAAAAATATGCAAATTAGTGAATCCCCAACTCAACAGCTGCCACGCCCAGTTGCCTCGTCAGTCTGTAAAACTTTACGCCTGATTTCCAATGCAAAAACACAGCCAAAACTTTTGGTTTCTAACTTTCGTCCGACAACTGCAATAAACAACAAACAACAGACTTTCCATGGATTTTCTGAAAATGCTCTCGATATCATTACATATATTGTGAAGTATATACTATGAACTATATACTAAATTAATTTTAGTTGGATTAGGCCAGTCAAGCGTTAACAGCCGATATACCAACAGTAGCCAAGAGCCAGAACCATCTTTCGAATCTAACAATATAGCCAGGGCATTTTTAGTCAGAAAAGATCATTAAAAACTTATTTAAATACGCTGCAAGCTTGGATGGGTATACTGAAATCGAGCAGATGAATGCAACTCCACCGTATAAAACGTGGATCGACTTAACTTTTTTTGTTTTAGGATGTTTTCTTTCTGATAGCTATCACCGTGTATAAAGATGTGAAGAAAAACTGTTATTTAATAAGAATTATTAGCTAAGGAGAAAAATAGTTTGATTCTTCATATCTATATATACACATATGCCTGGTGAGGGTATCCACTTTTCGAACAATTTCGCTTAGATATTTCATAATATTCCATGCTTGGCGACTATTAATACTACTGATTTGACTTTATTGGGTGCAATAGCGTTTTGCAAAGTATCGTAAAATGTTGTTTCCCTTTGTGCTGCTCTTGCTGGCAACCGAGATTCACTCGGCCAGTGAATCGCGGTTTACAAATATTGAGTGCAGGATGCTAGATCCATCGTATGCCGTCTATGAGCAATGTGAACTGAAAATTCTTGGTCGTGGTATCGTTGGATTGAATATATATTCGAGACTGAAGAAGGGCCCCTTCAATAATGCCAAGGTACGTTGCTTGAGCTAATGGAAACCCGCTGACTTTTCAAATTCAAAGATCAATATGAGCCTTTGGCGGAAATTTAATGGCTACCATCCTTTTCTTGTGAATTCGACCTTTGATTTCTGCAAGTATATGGACAAATCAACCAGGAAATTGTCATACGAAAAAGTGCTAATGGATTACTTAAATAAAAACTCGAATTTGAATCATTCTTGCCCATACACAGTAAGTTCATATTTTGAAAAGATGTATCACTTGATTAATATGTGCCCATTCCAGGATGGTATTATTATAAAAGACCTGGTCTTCGACAACAACTATTTCAAGTTTCTCCCATGGCCACCAGGCCAATATAAGTTCCAGGTTATGGCAGGTACCGATAACGAATGGAAAACAATCATCAATGTCCACTTCGTCAATACTGAAATCAATAACTGATAATTGAATAAATAATTGTGAATGTAATAATAAAAGGCAAATTAAAGTACATTAACTAAATAGTATTGCGTATTTTATGAAGATTTTTTAGAATAGTCAAATATGCTTATAGAGCGAATAATTTAAATCGAATGGCCACATTTATATTTTAGTTAATTGTATCAGTTGAACGAATCAGAATTCGTAATGAAATGATCGATTTACGAGAAATTATGAAATGTTCAATTCTAAACCCATTAGGGTATACGAAAACTGAGCAATTGTCGTAAATTATAGAACATTGGTTATATATTCTATTTCTGTACTACTTTGGCTAAGTTTATAATCATTTTGGCATGGGAATAATTCATATGATACAAAATAAATTGCAATTAGAGACTTCATCCCTGATTTGTAAACCTCGTGGAGCGTAAATTATGTAGTTCATTTTACATTTGTGCATCGAGTTTAATTAGTGCAAAAGAGGCCACAAAATGCGTTGCCCGAATGCATAGTTGATTGCGCTCGATTCGATTCGAGGCATCACAGCCGCAAATTAGCATTTTGACCTAGTCCCGGGCCAAATGGGTTTGAGAGCCGGTATCTGCTGTGATTAAGTGCGGTCAGTGCTAATATCGATTGAGAGTATGAAATCCTTTCTCAAATGTAATATTATCGGTATGTTTGTCCAGCACAAGAATATATTCTTTCACATCTGAATGAACGATGAAATGAGAGCTTTGTGCTGAAATTGTCATAGATTAAGTTATTAAGGTGGCGCAATTAACTATGAAAGTCAATACCGTGAAAATGTTTGTAATTAAGACAAATTGTGAAACAATCTAATAAGGCTACTAGATCGAAATGGTAATTTATGCATGAGTTAGTGTATATTCAAAATTGCGAAAGGTTTAAGAATTAATGAAAGCGTATAGAAATTATATTGCATTTAGCCAAGCTCTATGACTTCATCCAAATATATCTATAACAAAATATTTGCTTTAATTTTGAATACAAATTTCTCATATTAAAAAAGACTGAAATATATATATATATATATCGTAGTGAATTTAGGTAAAAACTCTTTAAAAATTAATTTATGCTTGTTAGATTCCACTATAATATAAATTTAGACTCTGCATTGCTTTTATAATTTTAATTGCGCAAAAAAGTAGGCAACGAAATTTTAAAACACTTTATCAGAGAAAAACGGAGTTCAACTTGTTTAAAGAGTATATAAATGTCCGAGCGTAAAAATCTTTCCAATCAAAAGGCTTGTTATTAAAAACAAATTAGTTTGTTTGTGTTTTTTTCTATATATTGTAAAATGTTCTTAATTACATATACCAACTTTTTATACATAGGATATTATCACGTTTAATAATCGCGATCAATAAGTTTAAATAAATATGTTCATATAAAAAATTGACTCTTTCGTTTCAGTACAAGATTCGCTTACTACTGAATAGCACAATGTGGCTCCGCTTTGGAATCCTGCTCATGGTGACAAATGCTTTGTCGATGGAAGTGACTCGCTTCACGAACGTCGAGTGCAAGATGTTGGATCCATCATATGCTACCTACGAGCAGTGTGAACTTAAAATACTAGGTCGTGGGATCATTGGCTTGAACATATATGCTAGACTGAACAAAGGACCCTTTAACAATGCCAAGGTAGCTAATGCTAGTGAGATTGTTGTGGATCTAGCCAATTGATAATTTCTTTTAGGTTAATATCAGTCTTTGGCGAAAGTTTAATGGTTATCGTCCGTTTATTTTTAATAGGACATTCGATTTTTGTAATTATATGAAAAGATCAAATGAGAAATTATCATTTGAAAAAATGTTTCTCGACATGATATATCATAACTCAAACTTAAATCACTCCTGTCCATTTGAGGTAAGTCGAAATGTGTCCGAAAAAAGACTTGATTATTAGTTTATCATATTTTCAGAATGCTATATTTGTAAAAGACTTAATTTTTAAGGCAGATTTCTTTAAGTACTCGCCACTGCCTAGCGGGCAGTATAAATTTCAGCTCATGGCAGCAACTGACAAGGAGTGGAAGACAATTGTCAATACATATTTTTCATTTTCAGAGGAACAATAAAAGATTTGAAATGGTATTTTAAATATATTTAATAAAAAAGAACGGTTGCTTATGGTATAGAGATTTTAGGAACTCAAAATCAAAACTTTAGCCGATCTAATGATATAACTATAAACATTACAGTAAATTTGTTTCATGAACATGTATTTATATATTGTGGAATCTCAGCCTATACTAATCTCCCATTAATAAAACAATCATTTGGAATGTTGAAGTTGAATGATTATTAATCTTTCATAATTTACTGCTTTTACTTTTGTTTATATGCGCAAATGAAGTCAGTCATTGGCGTTACAATCTTGATCGTTATTCCAATAATTTTAGTATAGCTGATAATCATTGATGAGTAAAAATGGTCCACTGATCATGGATATTCACGCACTGAAGTGGGCATATATATATATATATATAGCTCGAATATATACTCCGATAATTATCAGGTAACGCCTACTGGAGACTAGACAGCTGGCATGACACGCCTATTGGCGACTGCGCTGATTTTCGCTATGATTTGTTTTTCATATTGTCATATTGCCAATCTAACATTAGGGTATTCAATATGCTTTTCTAAAATTAATTTCAAATTAATTTGAATTCATTTCAACGACTAGGCTCATTTGAGCAGTCGTTAATGGGCTTCGCAACCTGTCGGACAATGCGGTTCCCGTTCGCAATTCTGCTTTTGGCAGCCCATACTCTAGCTGCTGATGTGTCCCGGTTCACCAATATCGAGTGTGAATCGCTGGATCCATCGCGATTGACATTCCAGCAATGCAATCTCAAAATGCTTGGTCGTGGCATCGTCGGCTTGAATATATATGCGACCTTGATAAACAAACCTTGGGACAATATGAAGGTATGCTGTGTGTGCTTCTTAGAGATGTAGAGTACGTATTTGGTATATGAATAACATTTGTTTTAAGGTTTCTATTAGTCTTTGGCGAAAATACAACGGATATCATCCATTCCTTGTTAATTCAACTTTTGACCTATGTAAACTCATGGCGAAGCCGACACAAAAAATGTCATTCGCAAAGCTATTTATGAGCTACATGTCGGAAAGCTCAAACTTTAATCACTCGTGCCCATACGAAGTAAGTAGTTCTGTTGAATACCTTATGATATGTTTAATTTAATCTATTTCAGAATGAATTAATTGTGCGCAACATGATATTCAAGGAGGAGTATTTGAAGTTTGCCCCATTGCCGCATGGCCACTATAAATTTCAGTTTATGTCTGCCACCAACAACGAATGGAAGTCCATTATCAATGCACATATATTACATGTTTCATCGTAAATAAAGTGCTATGAATATGTCTCACAACTTGGATTTATCAAAAGCAAACCGAATATTCCTTCTTGTGAGCGATCAATGGTATAAATTCAAATATATGCATGATATAACTCCATATATTCTAGTATACGCAATTAAAATTTAATGCATACTTAATTGGTTTTAAGCTGTTGAAGATTGAGCTAATGTGAATTTGATATTTGTGTAAAGTGAGAGCAGATTCACAATCTGAAACTGAGATAGTCCAACAAACCAGACGAAAATCGATAAATTTATGGAAAATATTGCCTTAATAGACTCTTGCCATCGCTTAGGGCCTTGGGCCGTGTTCAATTTGATTTGCCGGCAATAAAGCTTTTCTGTGTGTGCGTCGACAATGGCTGCACTCTACTGCAGGGCATATCAAATTGAATTTCCCTTTGGGCGTGGAGCACAGCAGAATGCGCTTAAAGTGCCAATTGGCCCATCGATTTGCCATCAACAGCTATGGGGTCCTGTCTATTGTTCATCTCTTTCCCTTGCTCTCTCTGTCTGTCTCTCTCTCTCTCTCTCTTCCTCTCTCTCTAAGGCTGATGCCATAAAACACGCGTTAAATTGCAATAACCAGCAAATCCAACCAACTTTTCCTGTCCATCCGCATCAACATTTTCAAAGATAAAGCGATACGTCAATTATCTGGATGCGAAGCTGAATGCCTGGCTCTCTGGCTGTCTGGCTGCGTGGCTCTGGGAACAAAAGTGGGGGAAAAACAAGGGAAAACAAAAACTAGAGCAATAAAACGTTTCGACAACATTGAAGCCTTGTCAACGACAGCCGTAAAGGTATCAGTTGACACTCTCCACCAATCCCCATTTGAAAAATGTTTGATTTATGTCAACTTTATCGACTGTGAAGTGGACACCCTATGCCAGCCAACTAAGAGGTATTCGCTTACATAAAGTATTCCTATGAAGCTGACTAAAATGGCACACAATTAAAAATCAATTGAGATGAACTATTATTTAGATATATATTTGTGAATTTAATTGTTTTTTTCAGTATAATTATTTTTTGGTCAACCGATTGATCAGTAACTCGCACAGGAAAGTGGCGAATGCCAGCAGCAAAGCAGTTGCCCAGCCCAACCAGACGTAAATCAAGTCGTTCACCTTGAAGTCATGAAAGGGCTCATATGGATACGGATCCTTGAGGCTGATCTCGCCCAGCGCCATAAAGTCGCGCAGCGACTGCTCCATCCAGTACATGACGAGGCCCGTGTCCTTGACTTGGATCATGAATTGATGCAGTGGCTCGGCGTAGATGGAGTTGGGCTGCAATGGCATCGAAGCGAGTATTTTGGAGCGAAAGACGAGATCGGGCTGGTAGCACAGCACAGGTCGTTTGAATAGTTTCTGTTGTTGCTTGTAGAACTCCCAAATGATTTCCGTCATAGAAAATGCCTTCGATTTGCTGAGGCTCTTGCGCATCCTTTCGAACTCCCTCGCCTCCAGGAACACGATCTTTGATCTAACAGTATGAAGGGGGCTCAGTTTCGACATCATGTTCACATAGAAATGCTCGTCCTCGGTAAAGTGAATATCGAGCTGAGAGTCGCGTAGCTCCACGAAATTGGTGACCATTCGCTCCATGGGTCGCTTGGTGAGCAGCGTCTTCAAGTGGACGGCGACGAGCGTGCTCAGTACGAGGCCCAGCAGAAAGAGTTGGGCGTGGGCTAGCCGAGAGCTGTTCGTGGCGTGAGCCTTCAGCCGGCTTGCCTGCCCGATCAGGCCAGAGATGATGCGCTCATTGAAGTAGAGGTTTGCCCAGTCCACTTGCCGATCCATCAGCAGCCAAGCAAAGCAGGTGTCCAGCAGGGCGAAGATGTAGTAGCTGGCCAGGAGCACGATCAACATGTTGCGGCTGACCACCTTGAGGTAGACCTTGGCCGTAGCTATCTCCTGGGCACAGGGCACAATGATGAACCACTCGGAAATGTCGTAGGGATACGTAAAGGCGCCATCAACGGTGGACAGCTCATAGCCGCACAGTGTCATGGGCAAATCGAGTGTTCCATTCAGCGTCATGTTGCGCAACAGAATCATGGATATGTGCTCCACAGTCTGCAGCTGCTCCTCCCACTGCAACGATATGTTGTGGACGCGTGCGAACTCCATCAACATCATGGTCATGATGCCAGTCAGACGTGTCTTGCCCGTCCTCCAGTCCGTGTAGGACAGCGCGGACGGCACCAGTTCCTCCGGCAGAGTGCGAGCCGTGCGCTGGTGGTAGTTGTATTGCTTGGGGAAGATCGGGCTGCTGTTCGACCGCAGCAGCAGCCAATCCGTGTCGACGTACGGCTGCAGCTGATAGGCTTCGCCTGACTCCAGCAGCAGCAGCACCACATGCGGAAATAGTTGCCGGCGAGCCGTGCTGGCTATTTCGTGGAGCTGTTGATCCGTGGCCCGCTGCAGCAGCACCAGCAGTCGAATATGCCTCATGTTGCTCAAGTTGCTGGCCAGCGCCTGCCACATTTCCGCATCCATCTGCCCACTGCCAGTCAGGCAGATAAGTGCCAGCATCTCTGTGCTTTGACTCCGCTGCAAGTAGAAGTTGGCATCGCTGTTGAGCCGCAGCAAGGGCCACGTGGCAGCAGCTGCCACTTCCTCCATTTGGCTGCACTGCAGCTGGCGCCTGTGCCGCAGCAGCAAGAGCGTCTCGAAGCGCTGCTCTCCATAGCTGCGCTGCAGCAGCTCACTTGGTGTGAAGGCCAGGCTCGGCATACAGCCGAGCAGGAGCCACAGGACTCCAGTTACAACCTCTGCTTGCCACATGTTGCGGCTGTCTGTTTCCACTTGGCTGCAGCTCTGCCTAAAATGTGGTTTATCTCTGGCATCGCAGCTAATTAGCTGTTAGCGGTCGATAGCAACGTCTATATGCTGCCCTTAATGAACAGACATTTAATATTATAATTAAAACGATTTATACTAAAAGCTTGAATACTGACTAAAATAATTCGTTTTTATTGCCAAGTTCATGTTGCTTGGGGCTGATGACAAAAAACTTTGGCGTGACTTGTGAAATTGTAGGTGAAGTGCTGCTGCATGGGTGGTGAATATTAGACAGGTCAAGGATTTGCTATTAAAAAATACATAAAACGGTATTTAGTGATGAAGGGCAAGTTTAATTCGTATAAAGGCGAGTGCTTAATAGTAATAGTAATAGTTTTTTTTTGTATAGGGTAACAGAGTGCTGTCATAATATTTCTAATAATAAGTGGGAGTTTATGTGGATGTGTAGTGATCAAAGAATGTGTTGATTCTTTTTTATAAAAATTGTATATTGGCCAAACAGTTGCCTGGGGCTCACATCATGCAGATTTTCTCTACAGATTACATTTATCATGCTCTAGTTCCACTGATGAGCGCAAAAAGCTTAAGATCAACTGATAAGATCATAAAGACTCAGCTCGACGCATTGCCAGCATTAGCGAGCTAGCTAAACTCTCAGGTAGACTCTAAGTAGAGCAGATCAAACTCTTTAACTCATCCCAAGACACATACGCTGCCTCCACTCAGCTTCTAGTCACACCTCTATCGAACAAGAGGAATCTTTCTCTGTCTCTCTTCGACTGAATTTTGTATATAAACTGCGAAGCGCATAGACCTTTCTTTGATTGCCTCGAAAAGAAAGACATAATAAAATTGTGTTTCATATATATTAACTGCTCTCTATTTAGTTGGCTTATGACTCAAGCTGAATTATAATTGAAATTCTTTAAGTGTATGAACTATTTCGATTTATAAAATATACAAATATTTAATAATTTAAAATCAATGAATATGTGAAATCTTTGGCAATCCCCTGAGAACGTTTTAAATCTATTTCAAAACTAAAGTCTTTAAATCCACTTCACTTGACTTGGCCGACTCTATCAGCTTAAAGCGGCTTAGGCACTTGAAAGTATTTTGGTTTTTTCTGCTGAAAATAAATTCACAGTTTAATTTGCAAGCAATTGGCTTTGGGCCATAACTCGACTCACATTTAAGAACTTTCTGAATATTTTAAGCTGTTAATCTGTATTACATATTTAATTGCTCTCCGCTCTCTCATGGCATCTCAAAGTTTGTGCTTCCTTTCATGGGAAACTCAACGTTGAGTAAAACTTTTCAACAACTTTATGGTCCATGCGACGACTTGTGAAATTCTGAGCATTTGCATTTGGGTTTTTCTTCTCGCGTTTTTGGCTTTTACAGCTCTTTCAATTAGACAAGCGAATGCCAAAGATAGCAGCACATGTGCATATGCCGCACTCTTCTTCACATTCGCATTCGCATTCATATTCATATTCGTTTTCGTACTTATGTTCATTCCATTTCATACTTTAATACCATTTGAAGAGACTCACGCATTAATTTACACGTCAGTGCATATTTGATTTTATTTTATTTTCATTCACAGTTGTCATGGGAAATGCACGTCTACCAGTTTCTCGGAATATGTTGAATATATCCTCTGATCAGAGCAGTGTGAGGCATGCTCAGCCAGGCAGTGTAAACGCAACAGTTGAAAAAGTTTACAAAGCGGAGACGAAACAAAGAAGCTAAAAGCTGTATTGTTCTGGCTGAAGTAGTAAGTGCAGCTCGACTAGAAAATACCCTACATGCATACATATATACAAATAGCAGCTGTATTGTTTAGCCTGAACTAGACTCGACTAGAAAATACCCAGCATACATTTATGCAAACATTGAATATTCCATTTAGCGCATGCAGGGTATTTCCGAGTCGGGCTGTGTCCTTTTCGACACTTGTCTATTTGTTGTATTTGCATTTACATAGGACTCTCCGCCGCTGGCGCCGACTGCTGCGCACCGCGTTGACATGCATAAGATTGCAAAGAATTGTTGCGAGCATAATTTATGCCAAGGCACGGCAGCAGGAAGCGGCACCAACAGGGACTACAGCTGGCTACGGCTGGCTGCCTGCCTGTGTGTGTGTGTGTCTCGGCTGCTGTGCAGTCTGGC